GCGAAAGGCAAACGGCAGGTTCCCAAAGATATGCAAGAATGGCCCATAGATAATCGACAGGTCGGCCCCAGGCAATTTTCACTACGTTCGATTTTTCCTCCTGTGGAGGGGGGCAGGCCCGACGTGAAGCCAGCGAGCCAGACTTGACCGACCTCACGGCAGGGCGACGCAGCGCACTGCGCTCGGGAGCGAGGAGGCAGCGCGAGGGGCCGAGGCAGCAGGAAACGGCAATGTGCGGCCTCGGCCTCGAGGGCGGTACGAGCAAGGCCGGCGGAGACCTCCGCCCACCCTGCCCGCTCCTCCTCCTCCTCCTCCTCCTCCTCCTCCTCCTCCTCCTCCTCCTTCTCCTGCTCCTGCTCCTGCTCCTCTCGTGCCCTGGGGGGGACATGAGAAGGAGAAGGACTTCTCAGCAGGCGGCGGGACTTCTCAGAAGCCCTCGCGCCTTCTAAGAAGTTTTCTGCGGATTTTTGTGCGTGGATTTCTGCGTGGATCTCTGCCAATGCAGAACCCCGAAACGGCGAGCGGGACACGAAGTGAACGTCGCGTGGATGTTGTTTAGTCTTCATTCCTGGCCCAAGAAATCCGCACGAAATTCACCTCGAAATCCGGAACGAAATTCTCCATGACACTCCGGGCCCATCCTATAGTTTGCCGAAAGAAATCCGCTCTGCAATGCTGACGCCATGAGAAGAGGGGGGAAGGGGGGCTCGGTCGGCCGAACTCGGCGCTGCAGCAATCTGAGACTCTGCGCGCTGTCTTGCTGAAGGCTCTCGCCCCGAGGGCCAAGGTGGTATACTTTCACCTACCGTTAGGTCGGGCATGTCCTCGTACAGGCGGATCAAACAAAATCGTTCCCTGACTTGTTTTACTATTTTCGGATCTTCCTCCCGTAGAGGCCCGATTCAAACCTACCGCCACCCTGCCCAGCGAGCAGCGAAGGGAAGCCCAACGCTGAGCCCCAGGCGGCCCAACCGGAGGTGGGGAGGAAGGGCCGAGGAGGAGGAAGGGAGGGGAGACCTTTTCCACACCAGCTGCGGGCAAGTGAGACATTCCTCCCATGTCATTCCCAAGCTGTAAACAAAGCTCCATCATACAGTCGGAGCGCATACGAGAGGACACGCGACAGGACACGAGGCTCTTCCGACAGTAACATGGCCTCCAGCAACACCCCCAGTCCGAACACGCGGAGGACATGAGACGGGATGGCCAGGACACATGAGTACCCTTGATCTTGCAGGGTCGTCCTGACAATGCACGCCAACTGTAGATGGCAGTCTCCTTTCCTTCGGACAGGTGAGCCTGCCTCGGCGAGGTGCCCGCGTTCGTCTTGGTGAGCTCATCCGTAGAAGCGACACGGACTGTCTTCGGAACGATGTACGCATGCTGTGTACAACTTCTCCTTCGGGCGACTCGGGCGATTCAGTGGCTTCGTACTGTGTCGGAGGGACCGTTTTGGCCAACGATGACTCCAAGATGACCCACGATAACCCAAGACGACCTTATATCCCCTCGGGCGCGACTTGAGAGATCTGACCTTCCCTTGCCTCCATATACCGGTCGGCCCTCTGCGCTCATATCTGCACGGGGCTGGAGATCAGATGTGCAGTCGTCGTGCCCTGGTCGTGAATCTCTTCTCCTCCCCCTCCTGTAGGAGCAAGCTGTGGAGTCAGGGTGGAAAGTGGGAAGAGGAGCAAGAGGAGGAGATCTGGTCTACAGTCGCGTCCTGTCTCGGCGAAGACGAGAGGCGGGTTTAGTGAAGGCCAGGGCCATGCGAACGCAGCCACTGGGGCCCTCGGTGGAGCTCCCCATGGGGCCACGAAACGTGTGAGGGGTGTGCCGAAATGGGTGCGGTGCCGCCATGCGAACGCAGCCAGTGGGGCCTTCGGTGGAGCTCCCTATGGGGCCACGAAGCGTGTGAGGGGTGTGCCGACATGGGCGCGGTGGCGCCATGCGGACGCAGCCACTGGGGCCCTCGGTGGAGCTCCCTATGGGGCCACGAAACGTGTGAGGGGTGTCCCGAAATGGGCGCGGTGCCGCCATGCGAACGCAGCCACTGGGGCCCTCGGTGGAGCTCCCTATGGGGCCACGAAACGTGTGAGGGGTGTGCCGAAATGGGCGCGGTGCCGCCATGCGAACGCAGCCATTAGAGCCCTCGGTGGAGCTCCATATGGAGCCACGAAGCGTGTGAGGGGTGTCCCGAAATGGGCGCGGTGCCGCAATGCGAACGCAACCACTGGGGCCCTCAATGGTGTTCCCTATGGGGCCGCGAACCGTGTGAGGGGTGTGCCGAAATGGGTGCGGTGCCGCCATGCGAACGCAGCCATTGGAGCCCTCGGTGGGGCTCCCTATGGGGCCACGAAACGTGTGAGGGGTGTGCCGAAATGGGTGCGGTGCCGCCATGCGAACGCAGCCACGGGGGCCCTCGGTGGAGCTCCCTCAGGGGCCACGAAACGTGTGAGGGGTGTGCCGAAATGAGCGCGGTGCCGCCATGCGAACGCAGCCAGTGGGGCCTTCGGTAAGCTCCCTATGGGGCCACGAAACGTGTGAGGGGTGTGCCGACATGGGTGCGGTGCCGCCATGCGAACGCCACGCCCTCGTGGAGCTCCCTATGGGGCCACGAAACGTGTGAGTGGAGCTCCTTATGGGGCCACGAAACGTGTGAGGGGTGTGCCGAAATGGGTGCGGTGCCGCCATGCGAACGCAGCCAGTGGGGCCCTCGGTGGAGCTCCCTATGGGGCCTCGAAACGTGTGAGGGGTGTGCCGCAAGGGGTGCGGTGCCGCCATGCGAACGCAGCCACTGGGGCCCTCGGTGGAGCTCCCGATGGGGCCACGAAACGTGTGAGGGGTGTGCCGAAGTGGGTGCGGTGCCGCCATGCGAACGCGGCCACCGGGGCCTTCGGTGGGTCTCCTTATGGGGCCACGAAACGTGTGAGGGGTGTGCCGACATGGGTGCGGTGCCGCCATGCGAACGCAGCCAGTGGGGCCCTCGGTGGAGCTCCCTATGGGGCCACGAAACGTGTGAGGGGTGTGCCGAAATGGGTGCGGTGCCGCCATGCGAACGCAGCCGTTGGGGCCTTCGGTGGAGCTCCCTATGGGGCCACGAAACGTGTGAGGGGTGTGCCGAAAGGGGTGCGGTGCCGCCATGCGAACGCAGCCACTGGGGCCTTCGGTGGAGCTCCCTATGGGGCCACGAAGCGTGTGAGGGGTGTGCCGAAATGGGTGCGGTGCCGCCATGCGAACGCAGCCACTGGAGCCTTCGGTGGAGCTCCCTATGGGGCCACGAAGCGTGTGAGGGGTGTGCCGACATGGGTGCGGTGCCGCCATGCGAATGCAGCCACGGGGGCCCTCGGTGGAGCTCCTTATGGGGCCACGAAACGTGTGAGGGGTGTGCCGACATGGGTGCGGTGCCGCCATGCGAACGCAGCCACTGGGGCCCTCGGTGGAGCTCCCGATGGGGCCACGAAACGTGTGAGGGGTGTGCCGAAATGACTGCGGTGCCGCCATGCGAACGCAGCCATTGGGGCCTTCGGTGGAGCTCCCTATGGGGCCACGGAACGTGTGAGGGGTGTGCCGAAATGGGTGCGGTGCCGCCATGCGAACGCAGCCACTGGGGCCTTCGGTGGAGCTCCCTATGGGGCCACGAAGCGTGTGAGGGGTGTGCCGAAATGGGCGCGGTGCCGCCATGCGAACGCAGCCACTGGGGCCCTCGGTGGAGCTCCCTATGGGGCCACGAAACGTGTGAGGGGTGTGCCGAAATGGGCGCGGTGCCGCCATACGAACGCAGCCACTGGAGCCCTCCGTGGAGCTTCTTATGGGGCCACGAAACGTGTGAGGGGTGTGCCGAAGTGGGTGTGGCTGACGCGGAGGGGGAGGAGGGAGGAGGAGAGGAGAGGAGAAGAGAGGAGAGGAGAACGCGGGGACCGTTTCTTCAAAACGAGGACCCAACACCACAGGATGGTTGGGAAAAATACCCACAAGTGGCCAAAGATAGTTGAAAAATCGTCCCCAGACTGTTTTTGGACTATTCTTGAATACTCCTCCTGTAGAGGGACAGGCCCGACTTGAAGCTACTGAGAGCACTGGAGCAGCATCGCCCAGGATCCGAGGCCGTCGATGATCGGGCGGTGGCAGGACTGGGTCTAGCGGGACCTGGTTTAGCGATGAGCACTGGGGGACGCCGCCCCCCGCCCCGTTCCACTGTAACCGGGACTGCCGTCACCCGGAAAAGAGCACCAGCTGCGGCAGACCTGGTTGAGTGATTCTGGCCGGTCTCGGGGCTCCGGGGGCCCCACCACTGACCCGGCCCCCTGACCCGGGGTCCTGGCTGTACCCGATCCTGAGAGCACGGGAGGCAGCACCGCCCAGGACCCGGGGCCGAGGACGAGGGGAGGCGCAGCCCCGGGGGGAGGGAGCGAGAGCGCGGAGCCGCTCTGTGCGGGCCAGCCGGGCGACCTCTGCACGCGGCAGTTCTTTCGTGATCCCGCTGTTTGTCCGAGGCCCCCCTCTCGTAGAATAAGTACATAGACACACAGGAATCCCACAAATAAATCCATGCACGCACGCAAAGCCCACAAAACAATACACACGAAATCCCACACACTAAATAGATAGATAACAAATAAGGGGCTCAGGGGCACACAAATAAGTACACAGATCCCAGGATACTCCATACTTTTTCACATCTTTGGGATCTTCGTCTTCCCCCCCACACTTCCCATATTTTTCCATATTCTCTGGGGAATCGACGGGCAATTGGGTCTCTGTGTGTTTCTTCCCCTTCTGACCAATGGCAGTTGCCGAGAGCAAAAGTCAGGCTGCGAGAATCGCCGGGGCCCACGGAGGCCGTGGAGGACAGAGGGCAGCAGATGGGGGAGGCGGGAGGAGGATGGAGGAGTGGTGGTGGAGCAGAGGAGAGGAGGGGAGGGAGGAGAAGCGTGAAACGCTCTGCGGTCGAGCGACGGCTCACCAGGGGCGTCCGCCCCTCTGGGAGGCTTCTCGCATCAGGCCGCCACGCTGACGGCAATGGCGATGAGAAAGCCGAGCAGAGCCGACATTCCCGTCACGTTGCCGCCCTGCTCGAACGCCTCTGGCAGGACGGTGTTGGCGATCATGCAGAGCATGGCGCCTCCGCACATCCCCTCAATGGCGGCGATGATCTTCTGAATGGAAGGATCGTCCTCACTGCCCGGGGGGAAGGCCATGGATCCTACCATCGCCCCGATGCCTGTTAAAACCGTGATGGAGGACCACATCGGAAGGATGATCTCCCTCCGCATCCCGTGCTGCTTCATGACACCCGCGGAGGACATCGCCTCCGGGAAGTTGGCCAGAAACACCCCGACCACGAAGGCGAGCAACTGGCCCATGGACGCGGTGTTCACCAGGATGCCCATGACGACGCTCTCGGGCACTGCGTCGATCAAGATGCCGAGCCAGATCATCAGCGCGGCTTGCTTGCTGCCCCCGTCGTGGGCGTGGCCGCCCTCCTTGCCGCCGCCCGGGTGCGCGGTGGCCTGGTGGTTGGCCCACAGGTCCGGCAGCGCGTGGCCGGTTGGGAGCGACAGGAAGGCGTCCTCCTCGGGGAGCTCGTCGGAGGCCTCGTCGGCCTCGCGCGCGACCGGCGCGTCCGCGCTCCGGGGCACCTCGTGATGGACCAGCAAACGAACGACACCACCCCAACTACGGCCCCACGGGCCGTAGCGTATACCAGGACATCTGGCGTGGGTTTTTGCATGGTATACGCTAGGGCCCCCGATGGGCCGTAGCGCAACATGGAGGGCCATAGGTGGGGTGGTGTCGCTGGTTTTTTGGCCGACGTGAGCCTGGGCCGAGGCAGCGCCCGTGCAGGCCGGTGGAGCCTCCGTGCGCTCCCAGCCGAACTCCTCCTCGAATGCTCCGCGGCCGAGCTTCGTCGGCGGCGCAGCCCCCTCCGGGGGCTCCAGCTCCAGGGTGGGCGCGTGGGCGCTCGGAGCGCTCGCGACCAGCGCCTGCCGGAACCGCTCGTCACGCTCGCAGAGCTTGTCGACGTCGCCTCGCTGGATGACCAGCACGGTCGTCCGCTCCAGCGCGACCGCTGTGGCGGTCACGGCGCGCGCATGCACCAGGTGCTCCGTGCCAAGGAGCCCGTTCGCGCGAACCACGTGGCGAGCGCGGCCCTCTGCGGCCAGACAACCCTCGCCGTGCAGGCTGCCAGCAGAAACCTCAACCGATCCGAGCACCACGAAGTATATAGGGCACAGTGCGTCCACGTCGTAAAACAGCGTGTCGCCGGCTTCGAATTCCGCTTGCCGCATGAAGCTGACGAGCCGTGCCACTGTACTCGGAGTGCAGCGGGCGAAGACTTCTGTCTCCCGCAGCCTGTCGATGGCCGTCATGGTGACAAAGTCCTGAAGTCTCCTGTTCGAAGCCAGCATCTTGTGCACCGCGGAGCTCGGGATCCTGAGCACGGTGGAACGCTCCACGGCCACCGCCTGCGCCTGGAGCGTCTCGCTAGAGAACAGCGACATATCGCCGAAAATATCGTTCGGCCGGAGGCGGAAGTGGTCGGTCACCTCCTCGTGGCCTGGCGGCAGGAACGCAACGTCGTCTGCTTGCACGCCGCCGCCAGCCTCGGCCCCTGGGCGAAGCCCGCCGCTCGCATATTTCGTGGTCACGGCGAGCTCCACGGAGCCGCTGAGCAAGAAAAAGATGGATGAATTCGCCTTGAGCTCCTGGAAGATCACCGACCCGGCAGCGTAGCGCTCTTTCACTGTCGACCGTGCGAGGCGCTCCAACTCCGCCGGCGAGAGTACCTCGAACATAGGCACCTGCCGCAAGCGCCCGATCAGCCGAGTCATGAGGGCACGCCTCAGCCTGCCGACGTAGGCCTGAACGGTGGAGGCCTTCCGCAGGAAGGCGCCGTGGTTGCTCAGCATGTGGTCCAGCCACGCGAACAGCAGGCCACCGCACACCGCGCTGCCCAGGGCTATGAATACGAGGCCGCGGTCGACCTCGGCGGCCCCCGCCAGGCGCCTGTCCTGCGTGGCAGACAGCCGCCTGTGGCCACCCCTGGCCACGTCCAGGATGTGGGCGAAGAGCTCGATGCTCAGCGCCTCGATCAGCGCCCCGCCGCCGAAGGCCATCATGGCCGCGCGCACCTTCTTGGACGGCAGCTTCCACACCCCGATCGCCGCGCCCAGCACGAGGGACACGGCGCTGTCGGGGAGCCGAACAGCGGGCACCGAGCACACAGGCTTTCGGACGTCCTCCGGGACGGCTCCTCCGCGAGCGCCGAGCTCCCTGCCCCCCGGATGGCCCCAGCGGCGGCGCCCTTGATCGACGCGCCCCCACGGAAGGGCTTGCAAAGGGGCGGGGCTTGGGGAGCCTGGCGCCAGCGAGAGAAGCCTCCCCGGCGGGCTGCCGGCGGGCCAGGATGCCCGAGCGGCCTTTCGGAGCTCCCCGGGGCTGAGCAACCCCCATCCCAGGGCCTCGAGCGCCAGGCCCGGCCCCGCCGCCGCCTCTTCCCCGTCGACCGCAGCCAGTCCGCGCGGCAGGGCCATGTGGCCCGCCCGCCACGGCTGGGAAGAGAAGGCTACATTATCGGGCAGCGGGCGGGGGAGGAGCCTCGGGCCGAAGCGAGCACGGCCAGGGGCAGGCAGCAGCAGGGGCACGCACGGGAGGCCGCGGCTGCAACGGCAAGGCGCCGCCCCTGACCTGCGCGCGCGGAGCGTCTCTTCCGTCTCCCCCATCGCACTCTTCCCCTCCCTCCCGCTTCTTACATTACTCGACGCGGAGATCCCTAGATGTGCATCTCACACTCCTGCCACCTTCCGCTGAGGAGCTCTGCATATGAGCATCTGGCTGTGAGAGCGGATCCGCGTAGACGCCCAAGCGCGGCATAAAGACGACAGCGACGACTTCAGTGACGCCCTCCTCCTCCTCCTCCTCCTCCTCCTCCTCCTCCTCCTCCTCCTCCTCCTCCTTCTCCTTCTCCTTCTCTGGAAATCTACAGGAGAGACGACGGAAACACAAGTGGAAGAGCGAGGGGCAAATTCCTCTTGCCGTTCTCCCCCAGGCAACTCTGGCAAGCGCGCACGGCGTTTCGACGCCCGTTCTTTGGCGTGCTACTCGCGGCGCCTGCTGGCACTTGGGGTGCCCAAGTGCCACGCCAGCTGCATCGCGTAAGTCATTTGTGTATGTGAGCCTTGTCCCGAGTGAATTCGAACGTGAGTAATCTCAGAGTGAGCGAGTCGGAGTGTGAGTGGATCCAGGTACTATTGAGCCTGAGTCTGATAGTCAGTGTGCGTACGAGGGGGTCTGAGTATGAGTAAGTCTGAGTGCGAGCGAGTCTAAGTGCGAGTGGGTCTGAGTGCGAGTGCGTCTGAATGTGGGTGAGTTTGAGTTTGGCTGTGACGGATACAAGTCTGAGAGAGAGTGGGCCAGGATGCGAGGTAGTCTAAGGGCTGGTGAGTCTGAGTGTGAGTGGGTCTGAGTGTAAGTTTGCCTGGGCTTGAGTGAACCAGAGTTTGAGCGAGTCTGAATATGAGCGAGTGAGTATGTGCGGGTGTGAACACGACCGAATCAATAGATGAGCGAGTCTGAAGGTGATGAGCGAGAAAGAGTGAGGAAGAGGTGCGGGTGAGTAAGGCCGAGTGCGAATGAGTGCGTCCGAGTTGGGAAAAAGGGAAGGAGGTGACTGAGTAAATGAGAAGCACACAAATCTAAAGAAAAGTCTGGGGGACAGAGACAAGCAAAGCACCTGAGACATCCCCCCAATCTGAGCGCGAATCCTGAAATGTCCCCACCCCTGACCGCTCCGCCTTGGGGGGGGGGGGGTGCCAAATGCCACGCCTGCTATATCGGGGTGAGCATTGGACTACAAAAAAGTTCTTGCGGGGGGGTGGGGAAAACAGGCAGGCCAACCGCCTGAGACATCCCCACAAGCTGCACGCGAACACTGGAATGTCCCTACCCCTGGCGGCTCCCGCTTGGGAGGTCCAAGTACTACGCCTGCCTGCTATACTGCGGTGAACACTGAACCACAAAAAAAGGTGAACAAAAACCGGCAAACGGCATAAAAAAACCCTCACGATCTGGACGCGAACCCTGGAGCGTCCCCACCCCCGGCGGCTCCGCCTTGGTGTGCCCAAGTGCCACGCCTGCAATATCGCTGTGAACAATGGACCACAAAAAAATCTAGGGGAAACAGGAAAACCGCCTGAGCCATCCTCACCATGTGTTTCGAAAATAGAGGATGCTGGGCATGCGAACAAGCAGACCGCCTGAGACACCCCCAACATCTGGACACGAGTCCTTGAATGTCCTGACCCCTGGCGCCGCCCCTGAGGAGCGCTGAGAAAGCTAAAGGCGTTGGGCATGCAAACAGGCAAACCGCCTGAGACATCCCCACAATCTAGACGCGAATCTTGGAGTGCCCTGACCCCTGGAGCCGCCCCGTCGAAGTCCTGAAACCAGCGCCTCGCCTCATCCTCAGAATCTGCTTCGAAAGCAAAGGATATTGGGAATGCAAACCGGCAAACCGCGTGAGACATTCCCATTATCTGAACGCGAATCTTGGAGTGTCCCCACCCCTGGCGGCTCCACCTTAGGGTGCCACGTACCAAAATTATGCTGGCGAAGGACCCAACCATATGCAATTGTGAATAACGCTTTGTGGGTGCCACTTTCGGTGGGGCTCCTTATGGGGCCACAAAAGGCGTGCCACGAAACGCTGTCCTGGGCATACGGGACGCATGAGGGCGGTAGCACTGGGGACTTTCGGTGGAGCTCCCTATGGGGCCACGACACGTGTGAGGGGTGTGCCAAATTAGGTGCGGCGCCGCCATGCCAACGCAGCCACTGGGGCCCTCGGTGGAGCTCCCTATGGGGCCACGAAACGTGTGAGGGGTGTGCCGACATGGGTGCGGTGCCGCCATGCGAACGCAGCCACTGGGGCCCTCGGTGGAGCTCCCAATGGGGCCACGAAACGTGTGAGGGGTGTGCCGAAATGTGTGCGGTGCCGCCATGCGAACGCAGCCACTAGGGCCCTCGGTGGAGCTCCCTATGGGGCCACGAAACGTGTGAGGGGTGTGCCGAAATGGGTGCGGTGCCGCCATGCGAACGCAGCCACGGGGCCTTCGGTGGAGCTCCCTATGGGGCCACGAAGCGTGTGAGGGGTGTGCCGAAATGGGTGGTGGAGGCATGCGAACGCAGCCACTGGGGCCTTCGGTGGAGCTCCCTATGGGGCCACGAAACGTGTGAGGGGTGTGCCGAAATGGGTGCGGTGCCGCCATGCGAACGCAGCCACTGGGGCCCTCGGTGGAGCTCCCTCTGGGGCCACGAAACGTGTGAGGGGTGTGCCGAAATGGGCGCGGTGCCGCCATGCGCAACGCAGCCACTGGGGCCTTCGGTGGAGCTCCCTATGGTGTGAGTCCCCGCATGGGGCGCACCACTGGGCCTTCGGTGGAGCTCCCTATGGGGCCACGAAACGTGTGAGGGGTGTGCCGAAATGGGTGCGGTGCCGCCATGCGAACGCAGCCACTGGGGCCCTCGGTGGAGCTCCCTATGGGGCCACGAAGCGTGTGAGGGGTGTGCCGAAATGGTGTGCGAAATGGGGCCGCCATGGTGCCGCCATGCCAACCCAGCCCCTGGGGCCCTCGGTGGAGCTCCCTATGGGGCCACGAAACGTGTGAGGGGTGTGCCGAAATGGGTGCGGTGCCGCCATGCCAACGCAGCCACTGGGGCCTTCGGTGGAGCTCCCTATGGGGCCACGAAACGTGTGAGGGGTGTGCCGAAATGGGCGCGGTGCCGCCATGCGAACGCAGCCACTGGAGCCCTCGGTGGAGCTCCCTATGGGGCCACGAAACGTGTGAGGGGTGTGCCGAAATGGGTGCGGTGCCGCCATGCGAACGCAGCCACGGGGCCCTCGGTGGAGCTCCCTATGGGGCCACGAAACGTGTGAGGGGTGTGCCGAAATGGTGCGGTGCCGCCATGCGCAACGCAGCCACTGGGCCCTCGGTGGAGCTCCCTATGGGGCCACGAAACGTGTGAGGGGTGTGCCGAAATGGGTGCGGTGCCGCCATGCCAACGCAGCCACTGGGGCCCTCGGTGGAGCTCCCTATGGGGCCACGAAACGTGTGAGGGGTGTGCCGAAATGGGTGCGGTGCCGCCATGCCAACGCAGCCACTGGGGCCTTCGGTGGAGCTCCCTATGGGGCCACGAAGCGTGTGAGGGGTGTGCCGAAATGGGTGCGGTGCCGCCATGCGAACGCAGCCACTGGGGCCCTCGGTGGAGCTCCCTATGGGGCCACGAAACGTGTGAGGGGTGTGCCGAAATGGGTGCGGTGCCGCCATGCGAACGCAGCCACTGGGGCCCTCGGTGGAGCTCCCTATGGGGCCACGAAGCGTGTGAGGGGTGTGCCGTGATAGTGGGAGGAGGGAGGAGGGAGGGGGGAGGAGGCGGAGGAGGAAGGAGAGGAGACGCGGGGCACTGTCTCTTCCACACGAAGACCGAACACCACAGGATGATTGGGAAAAAGACAAGTCTGGAGGCAGACACAGGCGAACCGCCTGAGACATCCTCACAATGCGCTTCGAAAGCAGAAGATGTCGGGCATGCAAACAGGCAAACCGCATGAGACATTCCAAACATCTGGACGCGAATCCTAGGGTGTCCTGACCCCTGGCGCCCCCTGCAGGAGTACTGAAACCAGCGCCTTGCCTGAGACATCCTCAGAATCTGCTCCGAAAGCACAGGGTATTGGGCATGCAAAAAACCAAACAAGATACCGCGTCAGGCATCCCCACAATCTGGGTGCGAATTCTCAATGTCCTGACCCCTGGATCCCCCTCCTTGGGGTGCCCAAGTGTTACGCCTGCTATATCGCGGTGAGCATTGGACCACCAATGATTATGAGTGAGTCTGAGTCTGGATATGAGAGGACTAGAATGTGAGTTAGTCTGAATGTGATTGAGCCCGAGAGTGAGTGAGTGAGTGAGTCTGAGTGTGAGTGGGTCTGGGCGTGCTGAGTCTGAGTATGCGTGAGTCTGAGTATGAGTGAGTCTGACTGCGAATGAGCCTGGGCGTGAGTGTGTCTGAGTATGAATGAGTCTGAGTGTGAGTGAATCGAGTGCGAACAAAAGAACAGGAGGACGAAGAAATGATGAGGAGATACCCTCGGAGCCGGCTACGCCATCTGATGACATGGGGAACAATACGAATACTACTCCCCCCCCCTCCCCTGAAGATGCCTGGAACATATCCTGCCACCTCCGCGCGCTGTTCTCCTTACACACACGATTGAAAACAATAAAATTCGTGTGGTTTGTTACGATCTGTCCTGGTGTTTCAAAATGGTATTCCAGCTGCAGCGTGGGCCTCATTTTCGGATCGGCGCGTTGCTCGCGTCGTTTAGAATGGCGCTCTCGTCCCAGCGCCGGCCACTTCTTTGGATCCGAGTCGTGCTTCAGCGTGGCCCCCCC